GATGAGGAGGTTCCTTCCAAAAAATAAAAATATTAAAATAATGGAGATCATGACACTAATTTCTTCTATTGGTGTGTATGAGTGAAAAAGAAAGACAAAATTGTCCAAATTATGTTATCAGATGATATTTTAAAATAATAAATGAATAAAAAATTTTATAAAGTAGCAGACTGTTACTTTAATTCAGGAAAAATGTTGAATTTTCACTGATTACATCAGGATAAAAATAAAGAATAAAAATTCATTTTCAAGATAATATCAACACATTAAGTATCAGAAAAAAGAAGTCTAACAGATATTTAATTTGTGGAAATATAAAATTGTGACAGAGTAATGTATAAATTATCACATCATAATTGTCAAGTAAGTAAGAGTACAATTGGTGATAGGCTTAACATGATTTAACAAGATTAAAGAATTACAAGAAATCGATTTTATATTTACTAATATACCTTTTGACCTGGTAATGCAAACATTACAAAGTATGCTTTTTCTAAGGCTTCTGAAGAACAAAAATACTACATTTTTATAACCACCAGCTTAGATATAACTTGAACTTCAACAGAATTTTATTTTTAAGTATTCTTATGATCAATTTTTTAGATCATAGTGAAACAGTTATATTGGTGTAACTTAAATCTTAAATATAAAGAAACTAATAAATTATTTAGTAAAAAAATATTATTATATATGTACCATAATACTTACTGACAAATTACAAATGGTAAAACTGTCTCTTCTTTTTTTGGACTATTTTTTTGTCAAATAAATCCAAGGTTAACTCCTTATTATATGCATTACCTGTATCTCTTTTGACAATTTTTTTGAAGTACATACACTGTATATCTGAATACAAAATAAATAATCTATATTTGGCTCATCTTAAATGGTATACAGGTATATGTATACAGTACATTGGAAATTACTAGCTACCCAGATACTTCAGTTTATAAGTAATTCATTCATTAAGAATCTGTACAAAAGGCTAATTAGTTGTATCTGAAAGTTCAACCAAGAATTGATTATATTTATGTTCATTTTAATTTTTAAGTCAAAACTGAGAGATAATATTAGCTTGATCACCATAATTAAAATGTTTGAATATTTTTTTCGTAAAAAGTTCTGTTGAGGATCAATATATTTAGTTGTTCCACTCTAAATCTATTATTTGTGATTTATGCCAATTTCTGATAATATAAGTTCCTTTCAAGTACACATATCAAATAATTTTCTTTACTATTATATTACCAGCATACATATATATTGTATGCAGAGAAAATTAATAGAAATCTTATCAAACTATAATAATATCCTTTACAAAGAGCTTCAAGTACTTAGAGCTTATAATAATTATTTCTAACCATTTGTGAATATATATCATCACAGTGTCAGGTTGAATTAATTATTTAACTGAAATCTGTTTTATTCAGTAGATATAAAAAATTGATTTGTCTTAATAGCCAACTAAAAACAAGATTCAACTTTCAGTTTCCAAATGAAAGCAAGACTTTAAATAAAGAAAGGAATAACAATAATTAAGAAAAAATTAATTATATTTCAAGAATAAATAATATTGCTGTTTTGCCAAATATTTTTATCATCAGATCTTGGATTTACTTGGATACTTGGATTTATAGTCTGTTGAAATTAATAATAATTTTTTACTAAATTTTCTGTAATTGTTTGGCTCAAAATTTCAACCAAAAAACAAGTATAAAAATAACTTTAGTAATCATCATACTTACTATTTTAATTTAAAATATAAATAAATAATATATAGCTAATATACACACAATCAAAATTTATTGTTCTGATTTTTTATTTTGATATCATCTCTTTAGAAAATAACAAAGCTTACTATTATTTTTACAAACATATATCTAATCACTGTTAAATATGGTTAAAAAACATCTATACATTAGAAACTATTATCTGAGATAATGAGGAGGAGGAAGAATGCACCCAGATAATCAAAAATTGGATAATAGAATTTTCATTTAAAATACTGTATTTTTATTATTTGACTACACAACATTGTAATTACTGTGACTAGAAAAGAAAACCTACATAATAGAGTAATTAAATTTACAAGTTTAAATTAAATTGTTTAACATTCATTTGTATGTAATCTAAAATTTTTTAAACAACCTCAACTGATTAATCTTGATTGATTGTATCTCCAGTTGATCAAATCCTGGTGAACAATGCTTCTACAGCATATATAATGGCAATATACTTTTGTATAAAGGAGAAATCCAACAATAATATAACTAAAATGATTTTAATTATATTTGAAGCATTTTTTACACTTAAAATTACCTGTATATGTAAGTATTCTGAAATATTGATCTTTTTAGCATCTCTCTTCTTTCCATTATTTCAGAATAAGGTAAGTTATAAGTAAAACAGCCATAATTTCATTTATTTTAGATATGAATCACATATCTAGAATTAACTCTAATATATAAAAACTCAAATAATATGATATAAAATAAATTATTTTAAATTAATCTATAGCATTTACCTGATAGAATTCACTTGCAAATCACCTATAACAACACTAAAATAGATTTGAATTTTATGATATCATTAATAATAATGCAAACATATTAACTTAANTCAAAAATTGGATAATAGAATTTTCATTTAAAATACTGTATTTTTATTATTTGACTACACAACATTGTAATTACTGTGACTAGAAAAGAAAACCTACATAATAGAGTAATTAAATTTACAAGTTTAAATTAAATTGTTTAACATTCATTTGTATGTAATCTAAAATTTTTTAAACAACCTCAACTGATTAATCTTGATTGATTGTATCTCCAGTTGATCAAATCCTGGTGAACAATGCTTCTACAGCATATATAATGGCAATATACTTTTGTATAAAGGAGAAATCCAACAATAATATAACTAAAATGATTTTAATTATATTTGAAGCATTTTTTACACTTAAAATTACCTGTATATGTAAGTATTCTGAAATATTGATCTTTTTAGCATCTCTCTTCTTTCCATTATTTCAGAATAAGGTAAGTTATAAGTAAAACAGCCATAATTTCATTTATTTTAGATATGAATCACATATCTAGAATTAACTCTAATATATAAAAACTCAAATAATATGATATAAAATAAATTATTTTAAATTAATCTATAGCATTTACCTGATAGAATTCACTTGCAAATCACCTATAACAACACTAAAATAGATTTGAATTTTATGATATCATTAATAATAATGCAAACATATTAACTTAATAAAAATTGTAATTATTTATATTTTAATAGTAGTTATTGATGATAAAATTTTTATTATGATATAACTAAAAGTAATTAAAAAACAAATATTCAGTGTAAAATTTTAATTGGAGTAATTAAATTATTTCAAATTGTTGATTATAAAGAATTAAAATCTTTGGTTAATTTTTTAATTAATTTACACTGCAAAGTTTCAATGAGACTTTTTATGCCTTTTTAAGTGAATTTATTGTGTTTTTATTATTTAAACATTTTAAATATTCAATTAATAAATTAAATTACTATATACAAAAACAAATCTATTATGTATATGGTGAAAAGATTTAAGAATTATATAACTTAATAAATTGTACATTTTATTAATATTTCAGTTTTAAAGAAAAGAATAGAAATAATCTTTAAAATATGAAAATGAATTTTCAACTTCTAATGGTTTCTTTGTACAAGATGTAAGAGGGGAAAAAAATTTACTAACAAAATATAAAATGTTTGAAATTTTTCAATAAAACTGACATCTAATTTAGAAGCTGTATCTATTTTGAATATTTTAATTTTCAAAATTTTCCTTGGTTATTTAAACAATTTTCTTTTTGTACCTTCAGTTTATTAAATGTTGCAAATTTCAACTTATTCAGAATTATCATTATCACACCACTATTATAATTTCCACTTTTTCATTGCAGAAAATGATTCATATTAACTGAGTTGACAAACCATCTGAGAAGATTTACAAAGATGCTAAAATTTACATAAATTATGTGCATACTGGAATTACATTGCATCTATTTCTAACTGCAGTAATAACAAATTTATTAATTTCTTCAAATATTTCCATTTTGATAAGTAAATATTTTAAATGGCTCTACTAAAATGGTTTTTTTAATAACTAAAAAAAAAATATTAGAAATCAAGTTTTGTAATTTAAAAATTCAAATTAAATAATATTGAGACTATTATAGCTAGAAACAATTTAACATTAAGTTGTTATTTTTTTAAATCTTGTATATGTATGTATGCTTTTTTCTTAATAATTTACATACCTTTAAATGGATTTAATCAAACTTCGGTATTTGTTATTTTAAGACAGAGAATTATGAACAAAAAACTAGTACTAATCTTATTAACTCATAAATATATCTTTTGTAGTAAATGAAATACTAATTCCATTTTATCTCTCCTGAGACTCATTAACCATTTTCTGATCAAACACAGCTGCTCCACAATTATTAAAATGAATTTTCATATTATTTGCTTTAATGTAGAAAAGCTGTAATTTATGATAATATTTAAAATTTCATTACTGATGTAGTATATGAGTGTATTGTTTGTTTGGATAAATAAAATCAATGATTGTTGTTTGCCTTCATTAAACTGCTAGGAAATTCAAAAATTTTTACACACTTATATAAATATTACTTTGAAAATAAAAACAGAAATTATGTATTAATTTTAAATATATTTTTATTATTAGAAATTATTACCAGTATTTCTAATTATTATTAGGAATTAATCAAATGAGTTTTACAAATAGAAATCTCATTTTCAAAAAACTTAATTAGAATTAAGTATTATAATGGAAAGACAAAACTGCTATTTTTAAATATAATAGTTTGAAAATTGATTAAATTTTAATTTGATTTCATCAAGAGCAAAATATATTCTAATTTTTATGATAAAAAAATTTTTTTTCATGTAAAATTTTAAACTTTAAATTTTATTCAATTTTTAAATAGTTAATCAATAAAAGAAAATTTTACCTCATTTAATTGTGCTACTATTTTGTTGAAGGCAGTGATCCATCGAATCTTTGCTCGAGACATTTGACCATCTGCTGTAACTAATTCTGGTATTGCTGGCTCTATTCTTATGGGTTCAATTTCTGGAACTGCTGAAGTCTCTAAAGAAGTTTCGTTGTTAGGCGATACCTTTGCTGCACTTGGCCTCATAATTTCAGTTTGTTGTTGTTCTTGTTCTTCTTCTTCTTCTTCATCATCTTCTATTATTTCCTCCTCTTTTTCCATACTATCCCATTCACTTTTTGATTCTTGTAATGGCTCTTCCTGACTTTCCCATTGATTTTCATAATAATCTTCATCTGTAGTCTTACTGTCTTCATGTTTATAAAGTTCTCTTCTGTCATATGCATTTTTATCATTTGCTTCTTCAATTATTTCATGTTTGTTTTGTGCTTCTTTCACAACTACATCTTTTTTATCAAACAGTTCATTTCTATTATGTATCTCTTTTCCATTCATCATCTCTTTTCTGTTATGAATTTCTTGTCTGTGGTCTTTTTCATTTATATCACACAATTCGTGTCTAACAGTTTTATCATTTCTTTCATGCATGTCATGCCTGTGATCCTTATCATTAAATACTTCCTTTCTCTCTGATAATTCATGTTTGTGATCTTTCTCATTATATGCATCTTTCTTATCATGTTGTTGCTTTGGTTTATAATCCCTTTCACTATATGCATCTTTTCTTTCATGAATATCTTCTACAAAATCTTGTCTGTGTTCTTTGTCATTATAACTTTCTTTTCTGTCATGGATTTCACGTCTATGGTCTTTATCATTGTAGACATCTTTTCTATTATACATTTCAGGCCTATGTTCATTATCAATTCTCACTTCTTTTCTTTCATGCATTTCTTGTACATGATCTTTATCACTAATTAAAGCATCTTTTCTATCATAGATTTCATGTCTTTGCTCTTTATTTCCATGAACAAACTCATTTCTATTGTGCATTTCTGGTCTTTGAACTTTTTCATTAAACATCTCTTTTTTCTCATGCCTAAGATCTTTTTCATTATGTAATGTCTCTTTCTTTTCATATGTTTCAAATCTATGCTCTTTATTAGTATGGACATCTTTTCTACTAATTGCTTCAGGTCTATGTTCCTTATCATTGTATAATACTTCCTTTTTGTTGTAAGTTTCATGTATTTGATTCTTCTCATTATAATGAATTTCCTTTTTATCATATATTTCAGGCCTATGATCTTGATCAGTATATAATGCTTCTTTCCTTTCATAAGTTTCATGTCTATGATCTTTCTCATTTTTATAGACATCTTTCCTCTCATAACCATCATGCCTATGCTCTTTATCATTGTATATAGGTTCCTTTCGTTCATAAGCATTTTGTCTATGATCTTTCTCATTGTATATTACTTCTTTTCTTTCATAATTATCAAGTCTGTGCTCTTTTTCATTATGTATGACTTCTTTTCTTTCAAAAGCATCATGCCTGTGATCTTTCTCATTATATGGAATACCTTTTCTCTCAAAAGCATTGTGCCTGTGGTCTTTTTCATTATATAATACTTCCTTTCTTTCAAAAGTATTGTGCCTATGATCTCTCTCATTATATAATACTTCTTTCCTTTCAAATGTATCATGCCTATGATCTTTTTCATTGCGTGGGATTTCTTTTCTATCAAATGCTGGCTGTCTATGATCTTTATTCCGATCATGTACTTCACGTCTATGACTTACAGGAGGAATTTGGGGCAATGTTTTTCTAGGAAATCCTTCATTTTGAACAATTTCTGGTTTTCTTCCAAATGCATCATTTCTTATAGCCATATCTTTTCGAACATTCTTTTCCATCATTTCATTTCTATTATGTGTTGTTTTATTAGGATATGGATGATCATACATTTCATTTCTTCCATAAGAATCTTTTGGAATATTTTCTTTGCTAACAGGATGGTTTCTATATGGTTCTTTTAAAACAACTTTATTATGTACATTTGGATTATACATAGCTTTTTGTTCATGCGGAGGAATTTTTTGCTCATAAATTTGCTTTGGTTCTGTTTTCCCTTCCCAGACTTTATTTTCATGTACAATTGTTTCTTCATGACTGTCTCCATAACTTTCATAACTCTCCTGTCTATAAACATCAACACTATCTTGATAATTATATGAATCTCTATTGTAATTATTTGCAGTTCGATCTTCCACAGGCCCATCATCAAAACCCAGCTGCCTGTCTAAACTACGCCTACGTTTTGTCCAACGATCAGATTCTTTCATTTTCGCTCTACGTAATGCTTCTTCAGGATCATCATCTTCTTCTTCTTCCCAAAATTGTGCATTTGATCCCATATTTCTCTCATTTACTGGATAGCTTGTGTGATTTTCATATTCTTCAGTACTCTGTTGACTCACAGTACTTCTCCCATAACTGTATCCACTAAAATATAAAATAAAAATTTTTAATTTTGTTATTAAGAATTTTTTAATTTATAAATTTATTTTTTTCACCAAGTAAATAATGTGTTTCTGGAAGTTTTGAACACATATGTAAGAAGAAAACATAGATTACGAAAAATAATTATTAGATTAAATAACACAAACTCAATAATAATCTACAAATAAAAAAAATACAAAAATCTTTACATAAAATAAATTATTATCTCATTTATTTATAAAATATTGTCCAGTTTGCATTCCTTAACTAATAGTTAACACAAAATCACTATATGAAGGCAATTAATTTAATTCATTAATTACACATCAGTTCATTTTAATTAACATGACAATAAGATGTATTGTGATTACTTCAATAACAAGTTTTAATCTGAATACATATTATTAAAAGAAAATTATTAATTAACAAACTGTAAAAACAAAATATATTCACATATCAAGGATTTGTGTTTTTAAATATTGAAAACTTTTAGTGAAAAAATTAAATATAATAGGAATAAAATCTGTTATAGATTTCAAACAATAATAATAATTTCAATGTAAAATTTTTCTGATGACAAGTATCTTATTTGAATAGAAATTAAATATTACTTTAAATTGAATGGTGTTAAGTGAATTTAAATAAATGATATTATTGTCTTTAAAATAAAACTTTTAACAATGTAACATTTATCATGTAAACAAAAATTTCTTTGAAACAGAGAAAACTTAACTACATAATAATTTAAAACTCTTAAATGAAATTAATAATTAATTTAGCATTGTTAAAGGTAAGAAATTCCACAATGTTAAAGAACATAAATAAAAATAATTATATAATACATTGTAAAAATTTTAAGAAAAAGTTAATATTTTAAATAAATATTTCTTAATTATAGAATAATAAAAATATTTTTGTAAAAGTTAATTAATTACCTGTCATTGTGCATTATGACACGGTCATTCGGTCGGCTATTGTAATACAGTGGGTCTGATTCAACATCATTGTACCTCCGATTTGAATTTGAATGTCCGTAAGTCATGTTGACGTCTTCATTCCTAACATACATATTATTTCTATAAGAGCTATTTTGATCATATGGACTGACGTTTTCTGGTTCAGGAGGAGCATATTCCGACGCCCTTCTTGTTAATACTGCGGGACCACCAAATTGAGAAGCAGAACTATTAGGATGGTGGGCAGAGGCACTTGGGTGTTGGCCAGTGGGGTAACTAACATCACTGGTGTAGTCGCTGTCTTCTGAAACTCCAGCTAAAACAGGAGCTATAGATGTAAATTTTTGTCTTAAAATGTATATTCAATTATAATTTTATGTAACTTAACTGTTCTATAATCACAGACAAAATTTCATAAATTATAATTTATGTTTTTCTTTTAATTTTCAAATATTGTCAAAATAAATGACAATAAGCATCAATATTAAAAAGTTTCTTATCTCAGCATACAATTATTAAAATATCACAATTTGTTATTATACAATGATTTAATTATAATCTTCCTCTATAAAAATGTTGTTACTTTCAAATTTCCTGATATTTAAAAACTGATTTTTTTCAATTCAAAAATGTTTAATCGTGGATATATACACTGTTTCTTGTGATCCATTTAATGACGCTTTTATAAATATAATGAAAGTATTTTTCACTTTTACACTAAATAGTTTAAACACAAGTTTTGGAAAGTTACTAAATAGTTTAATTTGACCTTATAAAATTATCAACATATTCAGTGACAAGTTAATTTCAGAATTTTAGATCTAATCTTATAATCTAGAAATCAAATTGATGCTTAATAAATTTCTCAAAAACATTTAAGATACTTTTCTGAAAATAAATTTAAACAAAATTTTTCTAAAAATTGATCCATGTATCTAAATATAACTTATCTGACTGAAAACTGTGAGATCAAAATTAAAAAACTACTGTAATAGTTTGAGATTGCTGAGGATGAGAAAATCATTTTCTTGAAAATGCTCAGATTAAAATAAATTGACGCCTTGATTTAAAGTTTGTTGTGTTTTACTAGATATAGATTTAAATGACTATAAAAACATATCAAAAATATAATTTCAATATATTCATAAATTTTACTAAAATAGAAGTATTAATTATTAACTCTTATGGTAAATAAAAACAAACAGTTTATCAATAAATGATTATAAATTTTAAGCAAATATATAACAGACAGAGCTCTCAACCGTTTGCTTTTTGCAGAGACAGTCTGCTTTTTGAGGATGCTGTCTGCATTTGTTCACTTTTTTCATCAATGATTCCTATTATCAATTATCTTTTCCTTTTATACTTTGTTTTAATAATAAAATTTCTTCAAGAAACATTATATCAGTCTGTGATTCATGGCAATACTAAATGCCATGAATTACAGACTGATCCTAATTGTCGAAGAATACTAAAGCTGCCGCTAGAAGTTAAATGAATACCATTATAAAAAGCCATATTTTTTAATCGAAAATGTGCCTGGACTTTTTTATACCTATAAATATATTGTACAGTACATGTACACTTTATTCTAGTCAGATAAAAAGTTATGCAATATTCTATACTAGTGATGCCTAGGCTGTTTTTCTACAATTCTATTTAAACATTAACAAATTTTCTTGATTCAACATTAAATCTATACCCAACAGAATTTATTTGATAAATTTTTTTAAATTTTATTTTAATATTTTCCTCTAAAACATAAACACAAAAATAACAACCAAAAAATATAAAAATTTATCTTTGAAATTTTATTTTATTGTAATATTATAAATTTTAAAATTTATCATTTTGAATTGTCTTGGGTTGGATGGTTTTCTTCCAAAAATTATAATAGCTTTTCCAATATACATTAGATGATTTGCTTTTAAATGTCTTTAAGATATTGAAATCTGCACAAGTTTTGCTACAAATTATACGAAATGACAGATGCTCACCATTAACTTCCTTGTACAGAAATCTATATTTTAAAAATTCTGCATTATTTTCTTTTTCTAGCAATTATTGTTTCTGGCTAATTTGTTTTTCATACATACAAATCCATTAATCTGTTTTTTCTTGCTGCTATTGTTTGTAAATCTTTTTCAATTGAATGCTGTCTATATTTTTTCTTTGTCAAAGAAAGACAAAGAAAAATACACACAACATACACTTTTGAAGATTTGAAGAATTTTTCATGATTATTATTCCTCTGCTCAGTGTTTATGCAACCACATAAAAATTGGTGATCAATTGGGGTCTCTACCCTATATTTGGAAATTGTTTTTCTACTCTACCGTATTAGTATAATGAGTGCAAAATTATAAATAAAAAGTACAAAATAAATATAAGATTATTTTATCACATTCAACAATTTATTTTACAATTTCTGTACGTCTTGCACTAGAGATTCCCATTAAAATTGTCAAAACCATTACATTTGGATTAGAATTTTGGCTATCAGCATATTTTGATTATGATATCAGTTTTTCAAAAAGACAAGTTGAGAACTCTGTTGAGATAAATATATGAGTACATGACATATATGAAATACATACAAGAGATTGTATGTGTCAAATAACTTTGTTTACATTGGCAAGATTATTATTTAAATTACAATACTGTAACTTTTAAACTTCCAATCCATTTTCAACTATCAAATGAAAAAATTATAAAACTTTATTGTAAGAAATTATAAAGAATTTTTCATAAATCACAAAATATTTCAGTATGTTATAAAAAGTGAATGTTGTTATGTTTTTAACTATTTATACAGTAATGATTTCTCTAAATTGTTGATTATTTCACAAATTTTCATTCACATTTTGTGCTAGATTTCAACTAGATCATTACATGAACAATTACATATGAAAATTCATTTATATTCTAGTTAAAACCTCAATGTTATGTAAATGATTCTCTATCCATTAGCAAACAAAATAGAAAATTAAATTGAATTTGATACATTTTTATAAAATTTATTAGGTAATTATAAATTCAAACTTTTGAGAAATAGAATTATTAATATCATTAGACATAAGAGTACTGATACATCTACAACAGCAGTAAATGATCGAGCTATATAACCCGATCATTTACGGCTGTTGTAGATGTATTAGCTTAAGGCAGTGTTTTTCAACCTTCTTGAATACACGACCCCTTTAGAAGTTAAAAAATTCTGGCAAACCCCCAGGGCCATATTAAAACTATATCAGTGATTTTAAAAACTACATATTTAATTTTCTTTCTGTTGAGACCTAAATATCGATCGAAAAACCAATTGTTCTGTAAAATAAACAGGTACAGCCTTCTCACTGAGATTGTAATTTTTTTTATTGTAGTGTAGGACTAGAAACACTTGTCTTTTTCTTTTACCCGCGACCCCCCATGTAAGCCTTTGCGACCCCCAGGGGGTCGCAACCCACAGGTTAAAAAACACTAGATTAAGGTATCGGGTTTCAATGGTCGTGTATATTTACATAAGAGTGCTGTATTAAATTTTGCCAGAATTTTTTTTTTGTGTGCACACATTTATGAACAGGGAAAACAGGGATTTAAATGTTAATATGTAACACTTAAATTTTAAACTTATTTAAATTTGAAATTTAAAAATTCAGTATTCTGGATATAATTATCTAGTTTATCAACCATAGATACATTAATATGTGACAAATGTAATAAAGTTTTCTTCTTTACTTTGTAACTTTGTAATTATTAATACATTGAATTCACTTTTTATAATAAATTTTATTGCATTTTTTTTTATTCTTTTTAAACTTAACTTCAAAAACTATGTGGTTCACTTATATAAAATAAATTTTATTTCTAGTTTATTTTATTACTAGAAAATTTGTTCTTTCCAATCATTCAATATTGTGATTCACAATTTATCAACAATACTTTGGCAAAATACCAATATTAAATTTAAAAATAACAGTATTGAATGATCCTGGCAATAAAAAGTGTATTTTTAATGTAACATTTAATAAAATAAATTTATTTCATTACAAAATTTTTAGTAACTTTCAGTTTGTAATATATGTAGTATTAAATTATCTTAGTCAGGAACACAATGAAGGAATCCTCACCATCTGCTAAGATAATTATGTTTATTACATATTCAGTGAAACTAAATGCACAACAAATTAATTCAGTTTCAAATCTGGTTTGTAGAGCCTGATAATTAAAGAACAATACAAGTAATTGATGTACAAACAAATAGACAAATATGTAAATGTATTTTTAAATTACTTACTAAATATTACCTCAGGATTACAGCAGTACAAAATTATAACAGATTTTGGTAATCTTTTCTAATTAATTAAAAATCTGAGTTATGTTGTTAAACACTCAGACATCTTCCTACCATAAATTGAATGCTATTACTTATATGGAAATATGTAATAATCTGATGAAGGTCTCTGAAAGTGACTGAAAATGTTTATTTTTTCCCAATAAACATACTTGCTGAATCAGTACAGAAGGTGTCTTTGAGTGTTTATATTATTTTCGAGATTTTTCAGTGTATTATTTTGTTATGCTTATACTTTCTTGAAATTTGTGATTAATTAAGAACCAACATAAAAATTTGTATTATTTAATCTAACAGTCATTTTCCTATTTTGTTTTCAAATTTATGTTAGTAAAAATATATGTATAATATTTTCTGTATTTCTTTTAATTCTAAAAGAATATATGTATTCAACAAACCATAATAATGTACACAGTATAAATGTGAAATTTTATACCCAAAATTTCGTAACAGTTAATTTATGTTGTATGTTAAAATATCAATGGATAAACTCTACAAAACCTCAAATTTTATTTAACAAACTAAGCTAAAAAGATTACAAAATAAGTTAAGTTGTAATTGGAGGATTAAATACAAAAAGCAAAATCATTCTTATCATATTAAACAGTTTTTGTTTAACACCAACAAAAACTGTTTCAAAATAGAAAGAAATGTGTATGTATATATATATATATATATCTGAAATTTAGTTTTCATTATTTTTAAGATCATTTACTATAAAAGAATTCACATTTTTTTCCTCTGTAAAGTTCTTAAATTCAAATCAAGTACTGTTAAGTACTTGATTTGAATTTATATACACATTTCTTTCTATGTAATAAAACACTTATGTATGTACAAAGTCATTATCATTACCATAAACAACCTGACTATTCTTTTGTATTTTATAGTTCATACTGCTAAAAATTTTTATAAATTAAAATAATTGTTCTAAAAGTAACATTATATTATGTTAATATGGAATCATTTAATGTAAG